TATTTATAAATTCCTTATAAATGATTTAGGATTCACAATGCACTTGGTTTCATTTGCCAAATATTTGTTTTGTAGATAAAGTTTCTACAAAGTAAATCCAGTTAAATTTTATTTACAAAAAAAATAACAATGAACTATATATAAGGTATATCATTTGAAATTAACAAGGGGATTTATCGATTTATTTTAAATGTATTTTTTTTTTCACGTTTACGAATCTTCAGAACGTTCGGCTTTCTCGGGATCATTTTCGAGGGGGGCTGGCCCCCCGATCCCTCCTTTATCGGCGCCTATGCATTTACTATTTTTAATGCAGGAAATTGAGCCAATAAATTGAATATTCTCTAAGGATATTTTTTTTTAGTCGTGTGGAAATGTATTTTTTGATTTTCAACGTTAAAAATTTAAAGACAAAAACAACGGTCATCAGTATATTACTGAATAAATAATGACGAATCAAGTACGGCACCGGTCGATAGCAATTAATTTAACATGATAGTTTTGTAATCGGACATAAAGAGCGTATCAATTTCAACCGGTTAGTAATAACGAGTCTTCAATAAGTAATAAGCCGTAACGGTAATCGATAAAGAGTCTACAGCGTATATTTCACCAAGGGCGTACCAAGAAAAAATCATAATTACCTACCCTAAACATTTTTTTCTGTAAATATATATCGAATTTCTAGTTAATTTAAAATTTTAAATGAAACATTTACCTAAGGAATATAAATGTATAATGACTATAAATAAAACTAATATAAGAATAATAATGATACAATATAAATAATGAATCTATAGAGAAAGTGAGTCAAAATATAATACAGTGTGTTTCTTATAAATACCTACATATTAAATTCAGAATCGCTTGTTTTTTATGTAGGTACTGTTGTGTTATGAAGAAAATAATAAAATTACCAAAATTCAATACCTAATATGAATTTGTATAAAATTTTGGTACACTCTATAAAATAATAAATTATAAGACAAACTGTATAATCTAAGTTCACAGAACACTGTTATTTTGATATTTGGAATGAAATAAAAAGGGAAATAAACTCTCAAATATTTAGGAAATCTATATTTATTAGATTAAATGATCACTAATGAGGAATGTAACATTAAATCTGTGATTCTGATCAAAAATGTTCTCAATAATAAAGTTCCATCAATATAAATGACAGTAATTAAAGTTTAGAAAGTAATAACTAGACCTAGGAATATATGCACCCAAAAAGTAGTTAAATATGCGCATATATATGCCGCAAAATACCTCAATATATGCGTAAAAAATTGAAAAATATGCAGAGCATATGCAATAAGAGTAATTTGTTATTTGATCGAAATAGTTTATTAATATTTATTATTTGTTTTATTTTACAATACCTAATATAATACTTAATAATTATTTAATTATTAACTAATTTTATTTACAAATCAACATTATTATGAAACGAATGAACAATTAGATGTTTTTCTAAATTATCTGTATTAAATTATTGTCTCCTATCAGTAAGTATGTACTTGTACAAAGAAAAACTCCTTTTGACATCTACAAAAGTAATACGTGCAAACTTAAATTTTCCTGAAATATCTGGATGAATAGTACCTATTAATATCTTCAAAGTTACCAGAATAAATATTAGCAAGGTTTCTTAAAACAATAAATCCTTCATTTTTTAAAATTACATTTGAAAATTTATGAAAAATCGTCTTTCCAATATCGCCCTGGACATTTTTATACTATGATTCAAACGTCTTAATTAAATTTACGGAAGTCACCAAAGGTAAATTTTTTGTTCTAAATCTAATATAATTTTGGGTACAAATTCATAATTTTTTAAAAACACTAATTGCTTTGGTTATATGCGATTTTGAAACAACTTCTTTGTATTAGATATTCCCTTCGATGAATCATCAAAATCAAATATGATTTCTTTAATTTTTTCATAATTATCTGTGTAATAAAAGGCAGCTTTAAGCCAGGTACCCCACCGAGTAATCACAGGTTCCGGAGGCATCTGTAATTCAGGAAATATTTATTTGTACAATTGAGTTCTTAGATGAGCTTTAAGAAATATTTTTTTACATTACTAATTAAATCATTTATTAAAGGAAAGTTAGACCTAATTTCTTCTGCAACTCTGTTAAGGCCATGAGCCAAACATGTAACATGGATTAAGTTTTCATAAAACATTTTTAAATTTTGTGCGGCTTTTACCATGTACGGGGCAGCATCGGATAACAGCAATAAACATTTTTCTCTTGGAACAGCTTCCGGGAGAAAAAGGAAGACAATTCTGTCTGGATAAAACGAGTTATTGTCAAGTTATTTGTTTTATCTAATTGCTTTGAATCGATTAGATATGGACCAATTTGCATTTCTTCGCGTAATGAACCTATCATTAAATGGGCTATATATCGACCACAAGAGTCTGTTGTTTCATCCACAATAATGTAGAAATGGTTTCCAACGGTATTCTCACGAATTTTTTCACGAGTCTCATTGTACAAACTGTCAACACAACGTTTGCGTAATATACTTTGCTCTGGATTATTAAATTTACAGTATTTTTGCAAAAATGATCGGAGATTTGGATTATTTAATCGTATTAAAGGGATATTCGAAGTCACTAAAGCTTTGCATAAATCTTCATTAAAAATAGCTTGTTCACTTCTAGACGATCCAGATTCTAAATATTGTTTCAAGGGAAGTTGACTTTGTCTGCGAGTGTCTTTAGATTTCTGTTTTGCTATATGTGTGGGTGTTTTCGCGTGTTGGTCGATTTGAAACTTTTTTTACATGGAATCTAAAACAAATAAATTCCTGTAGATGTTGAAGTTTTAATTAATTTAAATAAATGCGTACGTTGTAAAGTTGCCCTACTTTTTTTTTAACTGTGAGTTGAAATAATATTTTACTGTCATTTGATTTACCATTGTGAAAGGTCAAAATAAAATATAAAATAAAAAAGTACTTACAAATCAAAACTTACCAGCAAGTGCATATTTTTGTTCATGGTAAAATACCTTAAGGTTACTGAGAGTTTTTGTTTAGTGGTTTCTAGGGGAGGATGAGAATTTTTGGAAGATAGAATGGCATGGCGAGATAAAAATTGTATGGAATTTTGAATGTCCAATATCAGTAATATCACCTGAAAAAGATAATTGTAATTATTATTTCTTAAAACTTGGAATTCAAAACGTTTGTTTTCCGTAATTCAACCAGTTTTTGAGATTTTTCAAAATAGAGAAGTTTAATACCTATAAAAAATCAAAATACCTACAAAAAATCAATACAAAAATATTTTTTTTACTTCTGTTTTTATTTTTTTTTATTTTTTTTATTTTTTTGTATTTTTATTTTTCTAAATTTTTATCTTTTATTTTTTTTTTGTATAATAATTTTGAGTTACTAAAAGTAAATTAGTAAATTCTATCAGTTTTTAATATCCACAACTTTGCTTTTATTTTTAAATGAGTAAAATTTATTAATGGTTATTAAATCACTTGGTAAAATATTGTATAATTTAGGACCTATAAAATGTATACTTCGCTTTTTAATGTTTTTATTACATTTTGGTATATTTAAAAAAAATTGATTTCGTCTTCGGGTATTATAAGTATGGTCTATTTCCAACATTTCTGTTTTATTTTTATAGATAGCTTTATTATACGTATACGTTGGCAGAAAAGCTGCATATCAAAGATTTTGAATGCAGTTATAAACCAAATCACTGGAATACGTAGGTTTCTTTATTAAAAATTAGTTTTATGATCCATTTTTGCAAAATTCAAATTTTTGCTAGATAAATATCGTAAACTCCCCATCCCAGTATTCCCAGTATACCATATGTTAGCTGAGATTGGACCAGGGCATAGTATACAGTTTTTAAATGAGGTATTACTACAAATATTTTAATTTCGGAAGCCAAATTCACCTGCTAGAGTTGCCAAACACCACTGCCATTTCGGTCATATACGTTTTTTTACTATGTTCGGCAACCCCGCATTTATAGAAATAGAAATGTCATTTGTCATATTATCCATAAACAAAAATTATTTCATATCATTTTTATTTCAGAATTTTTAAAATCAAAAAGTAAAGAATTGCAAATGTTCTCGAGACAGGACAACACATTTTAATGATTTTAAGGTAAAAAAACAATTTTTTAAGTGTCAGCGAACCCAAAATATTAAAATTTCAATAGTAATAATACCTGTCGTTTATTTTTCGTGGTATATTACCAAAATCCTTATTATATAGGTACATATAAGTATATACACTTTCATTTTCTCTCAATATTTTAAAAATAAATAAAAATCGTAATAATTTTGAACAGTTAAGCGTTAAGAAGCTAGTTTTACAGATTAATTTTATAATAACGTAATCTACCTAGGTATTTTGTGTATCGTAGCAACACCTCAACATTCTATATGAAATAAAAAACTAGTCAATTAGTAATACCTACCTAAGTAATTTAACATATTTAATAAAACGTACTACTTTAAACAAATTGTAGATACGTTACTGATAATTATTTTGTATAGAAAGACAGTAGCTAAAACAAGAATCACGTAACTGCAAATTTCTGAGAATTATCAGCCCGAACAAAGGAGCAAACCAGACCTGTCAGTCGACGGTCTCTTTATGCGTTATGGATATGGAACCTGGGCGTTTCTAAAAGGCGGAGATTATAAGTGTGCAACAAGTGTGTTTTATTTATGAATACATGACACCGCCCAGCTGTCATAACCGAGGCCCTGGATGGTTCTCGGTAGGCAGTTTATCATCTCTCGCGCCTGCTCTTATACACACGATATCAATCCCCTCCGTTTTCATATCTCATTTAATAATATCTCGACCTATACTAATCGAGCTCCGAGCTCCCTTTCTCCCGCCAGCCAGTTATTATACCGCGATGTATTCGACGGAGCAGACGTGCCTGCTCCTCGGGTTGTATTATTCACAGTTCACTAACAATCGCTTTTTGTTCGCAGATGGACCGTGTCTCAGTGCTACGAGTGCGCCTGAAGAACTTCTGCCCGAAGTGTTGATGTGCCAACGCTGCCAGGAACAGTTCACCGAAGTTCAGGAATACGTCACGCATAAAGAGGAATGCGATAAAAAAGCGATCAAGCACGACGATCCCGCTCATTCCGATCCCGAAGATATGGTAGTGTCCGAGGATGATGATGAAGATGAAGAAACGGGAGCTGGTAAAAAAATTGAAACGATGCGACATCGACAAGACGAAGCAAATAACAACAGTATAGAAGAAAATGCGCCGGATGAAACTACTCAGAACTTAGGATTTCCGTTTCCTATACCTGCAGCGCCCGGTCACGTAACTTTAGAAGCATTGCAAAATACCAAAGTCGCTGTAGCACAGTTTGCTGCTACAGCTTTAGCAAATAACGCCGATAACGATGCGGCTTTACAAGAATTTGCTGTATTACAATCAACCTTATTATCATTACAACACCAGCAAGTATTACAGCTTCAACTTATCAATCAATTACAGCAACAGTTATCTATAGATCGAACGCAAGAGGAGGATGCTTCAGTTACTTCTCCAGTACCGTCAGAAAATGAGATGGAAAATATCAAAAGAGAATCTCCTTCTGCGCCGCCTCCATCTTTGCCTATAATTTCTCGTGAACCAACTCCAGCGTCTCTTCCACCTCCAATCGTACCTCCTCTGCAACCTTCACCCGCAACTCAACCACCAATACCAGAAGTAAGTGTTCCATCAACGATGCCTATGCAAATCCAATGTTCAATTTCTTCGTCGTTAGCATCTACAATAATAACACACGACGATCATCCAAGAGAAGAGACAAATAACTTGGAAATGCTACAGAAAAGAGCGCAAGAAGTATTAGATAGTGCCAGTCAAGGTCTACTAGCTACTAACTTAGCTGATGAACTCGCCTTTAGGAGAAGCAAAGGATCAATGTCCCCGTACGATTCAAAAGGAAGAAATGAACCGTTTTTTAAACATCGTTGTAGATATTGTGGTAAAGTGTTTGGTTCGGATTCAGCCCTTCAGATACATATCCGTAGTCATACTGGCGAACGCCCTTATAAGTGTAACGTTTGCGGTAGTCGATTTACAACAAAAGGAAATTTAAAAGTGCATTTTCAAAGACACAGTCAAAAATTTCCTCATATCAAAATGAATCCCAACCCCGTTCCAGAACATCTAGATAAATATCATCCACCTCTACTAGCACAACTAGGACAACAGTCGTCTTTGTCACCTGGTGGGCCACCACATCCACCTCATTTAGGCTTTCCTGCGGGCCCTCATTTTCCCCCATCGTCAATGCCCTTGTTTAGGCCACAAGGTCCACCTCCACCTGACGTTTTAGGTAACCGATTACAATCTTCACCTCATAGACTTTTAGATCCACCAAGACTGTTTCCACCCCATCCTCTTTTTTTAAAGCGCGAAGAACAAGAAATTCCTGCAGATTTAAGGAAGCCTCCGCGATCTCCCTCTCCTTTCGAAGAAAAAATGAATTCCATAGAAATGGAGGAAAAAAGAGAACCTGAACATGTCGATGAAGCTAAACCATTAGTTAGTACGCCTCACATAACACCGAAACAAGAAACAAATTTTACCGATAACGAAAACGACAATGAACATGAAAGGTATTCTCTTTCATTAGCATACGATGAGTGTAGTAATAGTACTAAATATTCCAACGAAGATATGTTAGAACAAAGAAGTATTGGAGGGGAACCAAATGAAAATATTCAAAACGAACCCGAAAATTTATCCACAAATAATTCGATTACAGGTCCCTTAAGCATATCAACAATTAGCCAAAGATTACAACCAAATTTTTCTTTCGGCCATCATACAAGCTCTCCTCCTAGTAGTACCTCTTCTGGAAGTTTGGGTCCATTTCCATGTAATCCTCTAGATATTACAAAAGATCCTTCACTTTATACTAATTTATTGCCTAGACCAGGAAGCAATGACAATTCTTGGGAAAGTTTAATCGAAGTGACGAAAACATCTGAAACCAGCAAACTTCAACAATTAGTAGACAATATTGAACATAAATTATCGGATCCAAACCAATGTGTTATATGTCATCGAGTGTTATCCTGCAAGAGTGCTCTTCAAATGCATTACAGGACACATACTGGTGAACGTCCTTTTAGATGTAAGATTTGTGGCCGAGCCTTCACCACGAAGGGAAATTTAAAAACTCACATGGGAGTTCACCGCGCGAAACCGCCAATGAGGGTCCTCCATCAATGTCCTGTTTGTCACAAAAAGTTCACTAATGCCTTAGTGCTTCAACAACATATCCGCCTACACACAGGTGAACCAACTGATCTCACTCCGGAGCAAATTCAAGCAGCCGAAATCAAAGACTTTCCTTCACCCGGTGGGTTTCCCAATCTACCAAATTCCATTCATCCATTCCTTAGCCAAGGCTTTCCGCCACCGGGTCTTTCGCCCTTGGGCCACTCTGGAATTCCCTTAAACATGAGATGTGACAGGGATATCAAGTCAGAAAATGACGGTAGTATGGATGACGATGATGATGACGATGATGATGGAATGAGTTCAATCGAAAATCAACATATGCCACCTTTTTCCTCGTCGCCATCCGATGTTCAGAATCCCGCTATGCCTATTAATACGATTGCGTCGCAATTTGCCAGCAGTATGCTGAGTTGTTCAGCGGAAGACTTGTGTTCAAATCGAACGACTACGTTTACACCTCCACCAGTACAGAATGGAGACAAGTCTCCTAGTCAATCTGGAGTTACTAGTCCTGGGAGCGCTGAATTGCGATCGTCGCCTAATCATACTCCCGTCCAGGTAAGTTTTTTTTCATCTTAAGCATGCAATCAAATATAAAATAGTAGTTTGTGCAAAAAGAGTGGATATGATGACCATATCACACGAAGACGAAATATGAACACGACGCCGAAGGCGGAGTGCTCAATCGTCTAAGTGCGATATGGACAATCCACTCGAGTTGTAAAGTATATTTTTCTACGACCCACTAACGTAAATCTACAAATATTAAAAATTATTTTAGGTTATTAGGATAAGATAATTTAAAAATAATTTATGACTTTTACTAATTTATAAAATCAAATAAAGAAAAAAAAATTAATTTTTCTCCATCTGTAATTTGAACTCGAGTCTTCCGTTTGGAAGGCAAGAACCCTGACTACAGGACCATCTACGCGTTTGTTTGTTTGTTTTTCCTTTAATACTCGTAATTAAATTTACTTGATATAGTTTTATTTCAATTAACAAATTATTTATAATTATAGACGAAATAAAAATATAAATTCTATCATTTATCGATTCTACACAAGAATAACTCACTTTAATGTTTGTTTAATCTCAATAACTAAAACATTGTCACTTATTTAAAATTTTAAAAAGTCGGTTGATCAAAATATGAACTGTGGTTGGTGGATTTAATTGTTTTGCAATGTTCTCACTACCTAGAATGGATATGAAATATATTCGTTCAGTTGAAGGCAATAGTATACTTTTTCGTTTTGTAATCTGTGCGTAGATAAGCTAATATCCATGTGACTGTAGAAAATATATTTACCTATATCAACTGAGCAGGAATAATTGGCGTGACTCATAAAAGTCTTGTTTATTAAGGTTTAAATATACTATTATTTTCACTACATAAATTATTTTTAGATTTAAAAAACCTACTTAAAAAAACAAATGGTTAATTTTAATTGACATTTGTGTAAAATATAATTTAATTAGATTATTTAAGTCAATCCTAATTGCAGTTAATAAGTAAAATTAATACGAAACAATAATAGTATATTCAATTAAATAAACATTGGTTTTATTGGAATGGGAAATTTTCAATTTTTGACACAATTTTAAATAAATTAAGCACCTCAGTAGTAGTAAATTATAATCATGAATTTGGAATAATAAATGTTCCATATTCTCAAATTTTCTTGACACAGAAGTACCACATGTAATTGTTATTGATCTTGCAAGTGAAAAAGTGAGTGCGACTAGTTTCGGCTAATACAGTCACCTTCAGGCTTTTTTTATATTTTACTTGAAGTAAATTGTATAGTTAACATATCTTAGCTGTTAAATAAATATGGTATTAAATAAAGTAAAAAAAAAGATGTAGGCATGTGGTATCGATAAAGAATGAAATAAATTATTAAAAAAACAACAATTATACGTAATTAAAATGTATGCCGTATTGTGGTCGAATATAAGTCCGGCACCATTTTCCATCCAATTCATATTTTGGATACCCAACTATTATTACTTTTATAATTTTAAAGTGACAATTCTGTCAAACTAATTGTATATTTTTTTAGTTATTGAGATTAAAAATACATTAAAATAAGTTATTTTTGTGTAGTATCGATAAATAATAGCTTTTTAATTTTAATTTGGTCCACATTTTGAAAAGAAAAAAAGAAAATTTGAATCAAACTATATGAAACTAATTTAATTACGAGTATTAAAACTAAAATCATAAAAGTGGCCGTGGAGCTGTGGACAGAGTATCTGCCTTCCAAGCGAATAGCCCGCGTAAAAATTCATAAATTATTTTGTCTTATTAACCTAAAATAATTTTTTAAATTTATTGATTTTTGTTAGTGGGTCTTAGAAAAAATATACCATACAACTCGAGTTGAACAAACTACTATTTTTAAACTCTAATGAAGCGTTTTCGAATATTAAGCAAAACATTGTTTATTTTGCCAAAAGACGGTATGTTTAAGTGACACTCTGTATATTATACCAGAAAATTATTATTGCATTAATTTTGTCCATCGGTTTATAAAGAAAGACGATGCGTAAAACCTGTGGTATAAATGTGGAATAAATTTTCTACACGAGTAGCACACTATACTCTTTCCACGACCTTGAAGACTAAATCACAAAAGACATATTATAGAAATATTGATATTTGGTAAATATACAGTGGAGTAATGTTATCAGCACTTTAACTATCATTTTTCTACTTAGTATGTATTTATTTTTCATTCATCTTAAAGGAAATTAAATGTTAAGTTTTAAAATCAGATAACATGATTTGAATTTTTTACTTATTAATTTTTATATCTGAACAAAAGATATTGTTAATAATTTGACTAGGTAGGTACTTACTACTTTTGCTTGTCAATTTTTTTAATTTTTGTTATTTTCTAGTAGGTATCAGAAACAGCTTTATCAATTTGAATAACATTTTGGTTGTACTTAAAAAAGCATATATTTTAGCAATTTAATAATTTTTAACAAAATATATGTACGCCACTGATTTTTCACTTTTCGATAGCACAATTAGTTAGATATTTAAATGAGTAATAAAAAGTACTATTTAATATTTTTGGATAAAATTATAACACCCTGTATCTTTGAAAAGCAACTGCTGACCCATATATTGATAAGAACTATATGTCTTATGTTTTTGAAATACCCTATATAAAGTAAATACTTTACTTTTTATTTAGGTTAATATATTTGAAATATCTTATAATAAAATAAAATCAAGGTTGATACTAATAAAAAAGTATTCGTTTAACATTAGATTTGACTGAAAATATAACTAAAATATGTTTTATTTAATAATAGATTCCTCGACCTCCGTCATCGCAACAAGCCAGCAGTCCAACTCCATCAGACAACTCAATGGGGGCTCTCGATTTAACGCCCAGAAGCCAACCTCAGATAACGAGTCCTGGACCTTCAACTCCTAGCAGTGCGCCGTCGATTTTTCCTTCATTTGGACTTCTACCTCCAGGAGGTCAGTCTCCACTGATATCATCAGCTTTGTCCTCCCTCACATCGTCAGTTCTGACATCAACGTCATTCAGTCCACTGAGGTTAGCTGTGGGCCCGATTGGGACTTTAGGTAATATTTTAGAGAAAATTATATTTTATAAATCAAATTAAAAAATCGTATCTATTTCATATTTCGTCGTATTGGTGGTAAAAAGAGCTAAGCCACGCATTTATTAATTGGAGAAAATGGGTAAATAAGTTTGTAACTCTTAGGTTAAAACAACTGATTTAAATTTTAAGTTATTTTTTTACTAAATATGATAAAATTTGGTACACACGAAAACACCTCCTTTATTTTAATGCGGATTTAAAAACGAAAGAAAAAGAAATGTATGTCGCTTAAAAATGATTTAACACTGAAAGAGATATTAGTATTTTCACCTACCTTCTTTCAGTTTGTGGGATTTTAAGGTTTTAATTACAAAATCGCTTATCTCTCTTCACAACTGTATTTTGTCTCAAAAATGTGGCCTTTTACCACCAATACGACGATTTTAAAAGATAACATTGGCTCAAAATAAATATTGAAGGATAATTTATCACATATTTGTATGCACAAATGCATTTGCTGGTAAATGACCACATAGTGATATAAAAAATGCATTTACAACATCACAATGTCCATTTATACTCTTCAATATAAATAAATTACACAGTTTTGCGTTAAATGGCACCTATAATAACTAACCTCGTGTTTGAAATGATGAGGCCATAAAAATTAATACATTAACCATTTGTGGTTTATTTTCAGACACAGGAAAAAAAGATTTTAAAAACAAGTTGATGCTTTGAGTTAAATATGACCTAAAAATAAAAAAGATCGTCCCATGATTTCGGAAAAAAATGAAACAATTTAAAGGCTTTTAAGCTCCAAAAATACAGTCTCAAATCCAGAAATCTGAAATAGATACGAATGATGAGTTTCGTGCTTGTAACCAAAATATTTTGATACTTGTTTTGAATACAGAGGATTTAATTATTTAGTTTGATTAAACGTATAAAATTAATTCTAACGAAAATGAATTATATTTTTTTCGTTTTGAATTATTTAACATGTATTATATAACAATAATTTTATTAAATAACAGAGTAGGTATTATTTTAAATATTTTTATAAAAAACAGGTTACTAAACAAAATTTTGTAAGTATAAGAATTACAGTATATCAAGAATATTATTCGTACTCATTCACGACTTTTCTTCCTTCTATATTAATGTGATGTGAGCCATTTCCGACCAATTTGGTCATGCTCTGATTTTGTAGGCCCCGCTGCCTTGTTTGGGCCTTGTTACGACCTTAAAACCAGGAATATTTAATGAAGGGTATAAACCCCCTTTACCCAACTATAGATAGCTAGTATAACTCGTTCGAAAAATTGTCGGAGACTAATAAATTGGTGCATGTGCTAGATTATTCCCGTTCTCACCATTTATTATAGTCTATTTTTATGAGAGAGTATTAAAATAATAAAGCGTTCGTATTCCATAGGCGTATGACTTCTTTTAGTAGACAGTTAAAATATTTTTTGAAGTTATTCCTCGAGTATACACTTATATTTTCACCTAATTAATCTGGTTATAACTTCTAAACAGCTGAAGGTAAAAAAGTGCAACTTTTTCTAAAATGTTTTATTTTTCCACAAGGTATGTTAAGAACATTGTGTCAAACGGGTTATGTAGGTATAAAGGTTTAAACTTTTAAACAACGTTACGTTCATAAATAATAATTTTAATATAAAAACTACTTCTTACCTACAAATCCAAATCAGAATCGAAATCAGAAGATGAACTGTCGCAACCAATATTTACAATGAGTGGCTCGATCATTTCATCAGTAATATTGTCCAATGTCCACATTTTCTCTTCTTCTTTAATCGTATGATTTACTGCCTTTTGCCAGTTTTCAGGCTTCACATTATTTACAGCCTCCAAAAACAACTGTTTAACATCACTCATTTTAAAAGAATTATTTTTTCTTGAAACTTCTCCCTTTATCTGTGCCCATATCAGTTCAATCGGGTTTACTTCGCAATGATATGGTGGTGATCTAACCATCGTCATCCCACGATTTTTTGCAATTTCATCAATTTCATATTTTTTTAATTTCTCTTTATGAAGGGAACACAAATGATACAGCTCTTTTCTCACAGAACCGGGATGGAACTTAATATTCTTTGAATTTAGACAATTCTGTAAATATTTTTTTAACCACTTGGTTGTGGGCATTTTTTCTATAAGTCTCGAGTGATAACTTGCATTATCCATTACTATTATATAGTTCTGAGGAAGAAGATCTATAATTCGTTCGAACCACTCTTTAAAGACATCAGCATTCATGTCCTCATGGTAGTCACCGGTACGAGTAGATTCAAAAGTCAATAAACCACCTTTAACAAAACCGTTTGAACTACCGATGTGTACTATTATTAGTCTTTGCCCCTTTCCTGATGGTGGTTTTAAACCAGTAGTTAAATTATTTAAAAAAGCCTGTCTTCGACTTGTAACAGTTTCATCTTGCCAAAATTTATTTGGTTTATGTCCCTCGTTGATCCATGTTTCATCTAAATAAAATATATTTCTTCTTTGGTTTCTCATTTCTTTTATAGTCCTTAAGTAATTTCTTCTCCATACTACAATATTGCTTCTTTCTATTAAAATAGACTTTCTGGAATGCTTTTTTCATAAAAAACCCAATTCTTTTAAAACTTTCCATAGTGTGCTTCGACTCATTTCAGGGTAATCCTTATCATCTCGAACCGTGGCAAGAACTGTCGGGAATTCTTTTCTAAAGAAGAACGCATGCACTTTCCTTCGAAGTCTTTCTTTTAAAAGATTTTCTAATTAAAATTTTAGTTTTCCTGGAGCTTTACGTGCTGTTTGAAACTAGCCACATTTCTCTTCTCTAAGAACTCTGTAAATCGTAGATTTCGCAACACCAAGTGTACTACTAACTAATTCCACTGTGTCATCAACACACTTTTACATAAATGTTTGTCTGTAAATGATTTAAAACAATTAAATATTAATGTTTTTTCATTAACTGTTAAAGGACCGATTTTTTGTCGTTTACGCGGCCCTTCCAAATTTTCCATAATCACACTAGAATTCATACTACACCTTGCAAGTCGCAACTAAACGACATTTAGTAAACTGTCAAGAATACACAACTTGGACCTCCTTACTAAATGGAAAACCTATAATCGCATTTTCGGTGAAATTTGTTGGGAAGGTATTTATCTACTTATAATTCGATTACTGTAAGAATTTCTTGGAATTAAAATAAAACAAAATTGGCAAATAGGTACTTATTGAAAATAATCTTAAGATACGGCTATGTAATCTTTAATACACAGGGCTTTTGGCCTGTCCAAACCTTTTTCTATTGTTTCGTACAGCTTATGTTTATAAAGGACCAATAAAAGACCCAAAACTTGTAATAGCTCAGGTACATTTATTACAATTTTAGGAAATATTCAGATTATTCTGTAAAAATATTTAAAATGACCGTACTAAGTTTTGCATTAGAAATGCTGTTTTATTACTCTCTCATACATAAAAATAGACTATAGACAAGCCTTCTCTTACAATTACAAAAATTTGTATTTTTCGCATTGTACATTTAGTTCTGTATTTTTGTATGTATGCTTATTTGAAATCCATGTCTTTCAAGGTGCTCGGTAATGTTTAAATCTATTCGTGACACGCCTATAGCGAAGGTACATTAGATTTAAAGAAACATAACCGGGCACCGTGACAGACCTGAGGCTTGATTAAGTGAAATAACAAAATTAAATACTCGAAAAACTTTTTAGAATAGTAATAACATTATTTTTTAACATTTCAAAAAAATATATTTTGACAACGTTTACAATTTTTGATTAATTATTTAATCACTGAATGTCGTGTTATCATGAAAATGTCTGTTCCTTTACCAGTGGCGTAGCGAGCTTAACTCGCGCCCTGGACACAATACTCGCAAATTAGTAAATAAAGTAAAATAAATAAAGCCATAGGATCAAGCTAGGCTTTAAATTTGAGACAAAAAATGTAGTTCAGAAAACAAGAAGATTTTGCAATGTATATGATCATCTAGAATTAGTTCAAAAGATACCTATTATTTATTTTATCCAATTTTGACACATTAAAATGACTTTATCAATTCCATAACAACAATAACAAATAAAGTTTTATTCACTAGCAACTTAAAGAGTGAGTTAAAATTTTTTTAAGTCACTAGCCGAGGAAATAGATTCCCACCTCTAATTGGAACCATCGCCGTTCCGGCGAGGAAATGACATTTTACAATAGTGCTTTCCGCGCATTCGCAAATATTCACTTGTATATGTGAGTGGTGCTTATGCCACACCTTTTTGTTTTACCATTTTTTATTGTATTAAGGTTTGACTTAATAAAGTGTTTCTGTGAAGCTAATCATTTTAACCATCCTTATGCTACATTAATAAAAAAATTCAATAACAGGGCAAATAACAAGTTGAATCAAAAAAAAGTCCATAATATTTATTTTTTTTTGATATCGTTTACGAGTTTATTTCGAACTGTACATGCCATAAGATGAATGAATTCATTTTGAATCTGTGGTGACGAATATGAGACAGTTTTTGTAGTGTCTGTGTTACTTTTTTTTTCATTTTTATTTACGAATTAACAGTTATTATGTTACATTGGCACTAAATTTAAAATATATTTTCCAGAAATCAATTATAATAAAAATTATCCAGTGATTTTTTTGTTTTGTGGACCATTTGGTGCACCTTTGTGAGGAACGCCCGGGGCTTGATGACCCCCCTCGCTACGTCTCTTTTCTTCGCTACAGGCGCCTCGTGAATAGAATTTACGCCTGATCACAGGCATTCTGACTGATCATTGTCAACTTTAGAAGCACCTCCATAGCTTCCAGCTATCAGATTCAGGTCTGTGAACTTGGCACCACAACACTGCAAAAAAGGGTCAAAAATGTGTGAGAGGTTTGCCCATCGTTTGCCCATTATTGCCCATGAAATAACTTTTTTTGGCCACCCTCTGTTATTAAAATATATCGAAAATAATTTTCGCGGACCAACTTCCAGGCAAAAGTTAAAATTTTCATAATTTAATTTCACGGCATAATAACATTTCGTTTGCCCACGTTTGCCTATAAATTAGTTTTTTCAGAAAAAAAAAATTGAGAGAATAAAAAAAATATTCATAAAACTGCAATATGATAACTACATTAGATAATCATTCGTTAGCCCATGTTGGCCCATTTTTTTGTTTCACAAATTTCCATAACGTTCTTCAAAAAAAATTTAATTAAAAATGGAATTTGATGGAAATTCTACTGTCCGAGATTTATACGAGTTTATTTGTTATAAAAAAAATGGGCAAACATTGAAATAATGGGCAATCCTAAGAATACATCTCTTAGTAACTTATTTTGGAAATATTTAAGCCCCCCATTGAACATGATTTTTTTTTTAAAAAATGGGTAATCCTCAAAATACATTTATTAGCAACTTACAATTATTTTGGAATCATTTCGGTTTTGCCTATTTTTAACCGACTTCAAAAAAGGAGGAGATTATTTCATAGCAGATAAACCCACATAAATGCACTTTTATCGGAGTTTATGCCCCCCTATTGGACGAGGATTTTTTTAAAAATGGGAAATCCTCAGAATACCTTTCTTAGTAGCTTACACTTATTTTTGAATCATTTCGATGTTTGTTAATTTTTTTATATCAAGTAAAAACAGAGAAATGCACTATTATCGGAGATTAAGCCCCCCCTATTGGACGAGGATTTTTTTTTTAAAATGAGCAATCCTCATAATACATTTCTTTGCAACTTACAATAATTATTTTGGATGATCGGCCATTTTTGATATATTGTAAAAAGAGAGGGTGGGCAAAAATAGTTATTTCATGGGCAATAATGAGCAAATGATGGGCAAACCTCTCACACATTTTTGACCCTTGTTTGAATGTTCACAGACCTATCAGATTCCGCACTTTGCAGGGATACGAACAAGAAGATGAGACTATCGAAAATATTCTTTACCATTGCCCGACAGTCTTATTTATTAGGTGTATTGCTAACACTGACTAACGTACAAAAAAGAGTTGTCATTTAAATTAAAATTGTAGCCTTGCTGACAAGCTAAGAAAATTTTCAACGATTCAGGCGGATGCACAATATTCCTAGTGAGCTCTAAGTATAGTGGAGCAACCCACTTTCCCCACCTTACAAATACAGAACCGTGCTACAATAAATTTTGTTTAGTATTGTTTCTATACGGTTTTCAGTTTACTCTGCTATGTATGTATATTTAAAAATTAAATAACCCTCTATAAAAATTTAATTTGTCTTGTTTCAGGTCGTGGGAACACAACCTGTAACTTATGCTTTAAGACCTTCGCCTGTAACTCAGCCCTCGAGATCCACTATCGAAGCCATACCAAAGAACGACCCTTTAAGTGTACCGTCTGTGAAAGAGGATTTTCCACTAAGGTATTTATAAATTAGCATTTAATTTATCCGTATCAGATAACGTGTTTTACGTAATAGAAATTGTATGCGAAAATGTTATCAGAAACGTACCCAAGATGATTTATTAAAATGTAAGTAATAAATCACCAATTTGCAAGATTTTCCTGTTGCTAGTTTTATTGAGTATTTGAGTGAATGAGTGGCAGATTTTCGTTTTCATTAGTTTTTTTTCTGCTAATGCCATGCTCGAAGAAGAGAATATGGATTAGATAGTAGGTCTGTTCGAACCATAGATACAGTGTGTCCGTAAAGTATGGAACAAATTAATTTTTAGCTAAACAAACCATTTTAAGAAATAATCCTGAAACACGTCAATTTTTTATTTTAATTCACCGTATTTTAAAATAATAATCTAATATACAGGGTGAATTTTCGGATTACTCTAGCTGAGTTGATTCCAAAAATGTATCACATGTTGATTCCAATTGGTACAGGGTGGACTTGTGGTCTAGCAGACAGAATATGAAAGAAATTATTTCTTATCAATTTTGAAAAAACATAGTCGTCTAGTTTTTTGTGAAATGTCATTATTTGTTTAGTAATTTATTGATGTTTAGTGACAGTTTAGTACTACAATATTTTTGGTATTCGTGATGTTTTAATTATTGCTTAGAATTAATTTGAATTAGAAATGGAGTTAAGTGTAAAACAAAAAATTTAAATACTTATGATGATTGGGTATGGAGGCAGATCGCGAACTCAGATGGAAGTGTGCAATTTGTTTAATGATAAATATCCAGACCTATAACGCGTTCAACAGTCAGTAAGATTGAAAAGAAATTTCGAGAAACTGGTATGGTTGAAAATATACGCAAATCAGGTCGTCATTCTGCAAATGCTGATACAGCATTAGATGTTTTACTTAATTTTTAAGAAGACGCGCACACTTATATGCGTAAAGTTAGTCGCGATAACGGTGTTAGCAAAACAACGGTACATAAACTATTAAAGCTTGAAAAATGGCATCCTTATAAAATCAAACTTGTGCAGGAATTAAACGAAGATGATCCCGATAGAAGAATTCAATTTTGCGAAAAAATTATGGATAAATGTCACCGAGACCCTCTCTTCATACAAAACATTATTTTTTCTGATGAGACCACTTTCACGTTAAATGGCGAGGTTAACCGTCAGAATTGTAGATACTGGGCAAAAGAAAACCCCCACTGGATGCGTGAGCATCATACACAATACCCGCAAAAGGTAAATGTATGGGCTGGAATTGTAAGAAATCGAATCATCGGATCCTACTTTATTGAAGGTAATTTAAACGGGGCAACGTACCTTGAGTTTTTGAGGGGGTATCTCGTACCTACTTTACATAATTTGTTTCCCAGAAGATGTAATCCTGGAGGTTGTGATGAAAGTTTATGGTTTCAACAGGATGGTGCACCTCCACATTATGCTGTAGATGTTAGAAGGTACCTAGATGAAATTTTTCCGAACAGGTGGATTAGTAGACGTGGACCTATCGAATGGCCAGCGAGGTCACCAGATTTCAATCCTTTGGATTATTTTATGTGGGGCCATCTAAAGAATGTTGTGTATCAAACGAAACCAGCAAATATTCAAGAATTAAAAGAGAGAATTCGGACAAAAATAAACAATATTTCTCAAGACACTATAAACAAGGTTTAACAAGAATTTGTACACCGTTTGGGTTACTATCAAATACAGCAAGGGCTGCAGTTCGAACATTTATAAAGTCATGTATTTCATCATATTCTGTCCGCTAGACAATAAGTATTTTTGATAATATTGTTAATTTAACTAATAAAGAATGTTACGCGTTACTTTATGAGCACACACAAAACTATTGTATTTTTGCCCACCCTGTACCAATTGAAATCAACATGTGACACATTTTTGGAATCAGCTCAGCTATAGTAATCCGAAAATTGAGACAAAATGGGGGTGTTCCATTTAAAAAAAAAATGACGGTGACGTCATTACTCGAAAGTAATTCACCCTGTATATTAGATTATTATTTTAAAATACAATAAATTAAAATCAAAAATCGACGTGTTTTAGGATTATTTCTTAAAATGGTCTGTTTAGCTAAAAATGAATTTGTTCCATAATTTACAGACACACTGTATATGTTTCAGCATGCGCGAAAACCATAATATTTCCGTACAAATCATGCGCTGTACACAATTTTTGGGTTTTCGCGCGTGTTGGAACAAACCTAGTATTTGTTTAAATTGGAATTGAACAGCCATAAATACCAATTTTCTTTAGTTTTCGAAAGCTCGACATTTTGTATATCAATTATCTTTTCATCGCACTCTTAATATCCTCTAGTCCAATCCCATAGTGATCATGGTATCTTTGGATACTTAGTAAACCAACCATTTAGTAATCATCCTGCCCTACTCATTCACACCAAATGTTAGATCGTTGAAGGGTATAGTCTGATGGCTAATTAATCCTTATGAGTTTGTGGTCACATATCAAACATATCACCCAAGATAACATTGAGATCAATGCTCCGAAAGCACGTTTTCTAGTTTGGATTCCACTGTTGGAAAATATCCCTCTTGTATAGCTATTTTTTTTTCATCTTCTTATTCAGAAAAGCTGATCTAATTTATTAGTAATCACCTGAGAGTATAAAGCTTCCATTTAAATTGAACATTTGTTATCTGGAGTCATTGCTTATTTTATATAAGCTGTGTATTTGCATTACATATATTTTCCGGGGAGTCGAATTGTCTCCCAAAATAAAAATTTTACCTGACTCTCAAAAAAAAACGTTGTTGCCAAATCGATCTTAAAATAAAACAATAATTAGAAATTATTTTATTATGTAATATAAAACAAAATACAAATTAATAAACAATAAATAATGAAGTTCGTTACATATCTTTTATAATAACGGATATATTAGACCAAGAGCCCAGTGCCCCCAGACATAACTTATTTTCTAAAGGACAAAATGTGGGGCATCAAGTAGTGTTTATATATGTATTGAATGCCTCCATACCTGCTAAGTTGGTTAGTGGGCCAATTCACAGGTACCAGGTGAGAAAGGCAACTATAAATAAGGTTAACTTTACTTATTTTCTAAAGGCTGATTTTTATATATATACCATAAAATATTATTAGAAAATAATATTGAACATTGCCAGACACTTTCCGTGGGCCATAACTTTCGCTAGACGCTTTAAAGCTCCCAATTTTTTTTTGTAACTTTACTTATATTCTAATGTCTGGTTTTTATATATGTTATTTAAAGAACTATTTTAAACATATAATTATTCAGCCAGACTAATTGTAAGGGCCAAACACCCCCCAGACACCAAAAACATTCAGCTGTGAGTATACGCGACTGTACTATGCTCGTGATTTGGAGAGAGTGAGATACCTATACAAAGTTAAAAGTAGGAACTATTTAAATAAAATGTTTGTGTATAAAATTTTTGTGAAAAACGTCTTTTTAAAAAGTAACTTAGGCTGTATAAAAATTTCATTTAAAAATATGTAAATGTATCTCAATCGTCCTGGTCATCATTGTTGGCATCATTAGATTCTTCATCATCAAACCAATCATGATCGTCTACATTGAAGTATTCATCACCATCATCGTCGTCCATCTCGTTATCGTTATCGTCGCTAGCAGCTTCTTCTATAAAAACAAATCAACAAATTAGAAAACTTAGTTTTTTAAATTTAGAAATTGAAGTCAATGTAAAATACCTGTATTTTGCTGAAGCGATTCACTGACAAAACCCGGTAATTGGTCACCATCAAACCAGTGAAACTGGTACTGGTTGCTTTCCAATGTCCACTCGTTGTTTTCTGGAGTAAAAATGGTCGGTTGTTTTTTATGGGCATTATTCCAAATACTTGATATATAATTTGCCCGAAGAAATTGTTGAAAAAGCTCAGTATTGCATGGTGGTAGATTGCTCGCATCAAAGTTTTTCAAGTTCTTATTGTTAAATTTCTCATTTACATTCGAAACTTTGTAATTATTTACGAACAGCTGAAGTCGGGCAGCATTCACTTCAACTGTTCCAGTAACGTTGTAAATGTCACAGATGAAATTTTGTATTTTGTTAAATATAATTTTTTGAACATCTGGATTCATAAATGACTTTAACTAGCCGAATTCTATAAAAGCTTGCTGATACTCTAATTTCTTCTTTAATATGTTGAATGGTCTTTGTTTTCCTTTCTTGAAGAAAGCAGGATTATAGTCACACCCAGTGAGAGCATGAAATCCGGGTAAGCTCCTACACAACGTCGGTCCTAAGTACTCATAAATCTTCGTTAAGTCAATATACCTTTGTTTATTTCCAGTACCTGTTAATATCCACACATTTGAATCGTAATTCTTCAAATTGTGCATATTACCCAACATTATTGTTCTGATATCAGTATCAGAACACCTTATTACAAAGTTAGCCTGAGTATCAATATTACAAATATGGCAAATAATTTTCCGGTACATCAAACAGATTTTCCAGGAAAATTAGGGGAAATTTCGGATGAGACGATTTTCCAGGGAAAACATTGCTTAAAAGAGGAGATAGACGAATAAAACCTGAAAAATAATTATCCGTATCGACGAGAAGCATCGATTGATGTATCACATGACATGGTTTTCCTAACAGGGAGAGGGGGGAAATAAAAAAAACGCAAAATATTTCGTTTTTTTTTATTTTTAAAAAATTAAATGCAAAGGCGTTATTAAATATTTCTATAGGACGATAAACATTTGAAATTTTCCTTCGAAAGGTAGTCGCACAGCTGTGCGACATGACTCCCTAGTATGTTCCTATTTAATTGTTTTATCAATTAAATAAAGTAACAACTCGATAATTTTAAATCACGGTTTTCCAGAGTAGATATTTCAAGCCATATTAAAAGATTTTATACGTGTTGCTGTTGTACCATCGATTTATATCTTACTCGCTCCAAAGCACGAGCATATAGTACAGTCGCGCATACTCACGGCTAAATGTTTTTGATGTCTGGGGGATATTTGGCCCTTACAATTAGTCTGGCTGAATAAATATATGTTTAAAATAGTTCCTTAAATAACATATATAAAAACCAGATATTAGAATATAAGTAAAGTTACAAAAAAAAATTGGAAGCTTTAAAGCGTCTAGCGGAAGTTATGGCCCACGGAAAGTGTCTGGCAATGTTCAATATTATTTTCTAATAATATTTTATGAAATATGTATAAAAATCAGCCTTTAGAAAATAAGTAAAGTTAACCTTATTTATAGTTACCTTTCTGACCTGGTACCTGTGAATTGGCCCACTAACCAACTTAGCAGGTATGGAGGCATTCAATACATATATAAATACTACTTGATGCCCCACATTTTGTCCTTTAGAAAATAAGTTATGTCTGGGGGCACTGGGCTCTTACTCTATATTGTAATTCAAGACAATAATGTTTACAAAAATATTATAAATTTTTTTTTTCAATTAAATTCTGCATTTAAAAGAAATATTTTTTACTAAAATTGAAAATTGATAATTTGTAATTTTTTAAAATTATCATCCAAAAACTTTTTTTTCATTAATACTTTTTTCTACTAGCGTGCGGAAAAGTTCACTTCGCAAAAACACATTTTCTAATTTCACCTGTTACTTGATAGCATGATTTTAAATTTCTCCAAATGTATGCGAAACAAAATATGGTGGTCAGTTGGAAGGAACCACTAACTTCACATAGTAGTTATAAAATACAGAACTCAACAAGGCGTCCAGGACGTTTGATAATACTTTCGTCCCTTATAAATCATTTGACTTGCCCATTCATCCAGCTCAGCCAAATTACCGTTTATCCAGCTTGACTTGTCACTGTTTAATCCTCATAATTTATGGCTCTTCAATTGCAGCTGGTTCATTTTAAATGTACTTATTTAATCGATCTTTTATATCTATATCATTTCAGATTCAAAACCTTGAAATATCTTTAAAACTTATAAGCATAAAATATTGTTGCAAACATATCTCTTATCATTTTTTTTTTGTACGTATCAATAACAATTCAACTTGCCCCGTCTATTTTTAATCATACAATAGAAGTGGAGACATCTCAAATTAACTGTTGGCTTTCAGCCAGACATAAGTTATGTCGCATGTCTAAGTGGTCTATTTCTGATTGAGATTCTTTTTATACGTTAAAGATGATTTTGTCGACAATCATTATTCTTCTTTGACTTTAATTGTGGGGCAAAATGCTGAAAATTTCTCAGGCGTTCCTAACAGTCTAAAGCGCTTCAAACAAAAATAAATAATTAGATACGAAAGATTCGAAATTGAAAATAATAGAGATGTTGAGGGGATTTCCAATTCTCGATCCAAGGTTGCTACTGAGGTAGGTAGTAGGTTAGGGATTGTAATTTCGTTATTTAGACTCTTAGAGCAAACTTAATAATTTTACCACCCAGTAGAATGCATCTATCCATTTATACTAGTTCCAATTCCCAGATTGATATGCTAGATATCTATAATTCATTTTTGGATAGAATAACCTTAGCAGAGCAAAGAATATAATGTATAAATGTATCTCTTTAAATTTGATAAAGATTATGACTTAAATTATGGAGATAATTGCATTATACAGCTCTTGCAAGTAGAACTTCTAGTTATCCATCTTCTAGATCCTCCATTTTCCGAATCTTTCAAATTTAAAATGTTTTTACAATTCCTATTTTGAATATTTCGATCCACAAAAATATGGGATTTGGAACTAGTCTAATAATCCTTTGTATATCTATGTTACTCATCCTGTATTATGTTTGTTGACTACTTTGTGTTTCAGGATGGTTGTCTTTGTACGCAGAGGCGTATCCAGGATGAAGTAGATCACTGGAGGGCGCAAAATCAAAAAACAGCCCTTTTCAACTCCATTCCCTCCCTTTTTCACTTACCGATGACGCCTGGATACGCCTCGTTGAGGACAAAAAAGGCGGTAAGACCCGCCAACAAGTCGATCTGCAAAATTTATAAAGCATTTTTTGTTACAGGGCAATATGAAGCAGCACATGCTCACCCACAAGATCAGAGACATGCCGCAGCACATGTTCGAGAACAAGCCTCCAAACTTAAGCGGAGATGAGTCTACTCCTCTTCCTCCGAGTATGCCTAAGTTAGAAGCGCCAAGTGGGGACGTAGAGCGCGAGCCACAGCCTCATCAGCAGCCTCTTCAGCAACCTCATCTGCAGCCTCATCAGCAGCAGCCTCATCAGCAACCTTTGGCTGCGCAACCTCCTCCGAATCTTCAACCTCCGCAGGTGCCGTCGCTGCCTGAGAAACATGAAGTGGAGTCGCAACAAATCAAAAGAGAACCTACTGAGACTGAATTACCCTTACCGAAACGTCCTCCTAGTAAGTATATTTATGTAGGTATCCCTAATAATAATCAAAGGCAAGTTAAGGTAAAGTTGGAGATTTAGTTAACTTTAATGTACACACTATTAAAATAGGTACTTATTAATTTTCATTCAACCTACAAAAAAGTAAATTTTAATAAAATTGGATTATATCAGTTTTCAAAAACTACACGAACTTATAGATATATAACCTCAAATGTAAACTGAGGGAAAAGTTTAACTACAACTTAAATTTTTAATTGGAACTGTTAAAATACAGGATGTCCCAAAATTCCGTGTACATAGATCTACTGTATGTTGGTGAGATCAAAATAAGTCGATTGAGCCAAAATTACCTATATCACAAAGTCAATCGTTTGCCTGTGAGGAAGCTTCAAAGTTGGAAGAAAATTTTCAATTTTTTTTTTTAATAACACAGAAACGCTTCTTTCGATTTTTATAAAATTTGGTGTGTAGCTATTTTAACTGAAGAGCCATTGTTCAAAGCAAAAATTACACCAACTGAAATTATGGAAGGGTAAAAACCACCCTAATACTACCATAAAAGACATCGTATTTTTTTTAGGGCCGCCCCTGTTCCCTAAATTAGTTGGGTACTATCTATTAGGGATCATCAAATTCACTAAGGTTAAACTACATAGCAAATATTTATTTAGGTAAGAGATGTCTTACAGTTAAGTCAAAAAGAGAAATTAGTTGGATTTACAATTTAAGCAAATGTATGTAGCAGCATTATCTGCTTCAGTGCAGTCTTCATGAGCCCATAGTCCACATAGACGACATCTCCACTATAATTCATTCGATCCAAACTTTAAACATACTGCACATAATTCACTTTGTGCTCTTTGGTATACAATTGTGTCATCAGCTTTCTTCTTGACAACTTTTCCAGATATTTTTTGTCTACCTCCAATTGCTCGTTTCACTTTCTTGTTTCTACCTCATTCTTTTTTGTTTTTTCCTTTTCTTATTTTCTAGTTCTTCTTTTAAAGGTGTTGAAGCTAATATGGTCGAGTGCTGAGATCTCCTGCTTCAAGTTTTTGTGTAACCACTGACTGGTAGTGCCGGTAAAGGACATAATTCACCGAAAGATATACTGGACACATTCTTATCTTTTAGCTTCACGAATTTATCCCTATCGTCGCTCAAACTAATGTCTCAAACTTCCTCTAACTCTGATTCAGATGAAGAATCTTCTGACGTTGATGGTGATTTCAGTGTATGTTTTTTATTTTGAATTCAACTAGGCCCTTGTAGTTTATCTGGGAGAACCGGTGTTGGTGATGGTGGCCGATGTCTATCGGGCAGAGAAGGAGGACCATCTTGACGTCGGCTACTGGTACAGACATTAACTCTTCTTCGCATAAAACATCGGAATTGGATGGAAAGATACCTGTAGTTCGAAAACCATTTACAGCTTTCTCAATGAATGCAGCCCGGTTGAAAGCATTTTTAACAAGTTTATATATTTTATGTTTTATATATTTGTTAAATTCCTGGTAGTAAGCTGACTTGAACGGAGCAAAAAACGTGACATCGAGGGGCTGTAGACAGTAGGAAGTGTGTGGTGGCAGGGAAAGCAAGTGTATTTCTGTTTCTCGGCAAAAATTGTAGGAAGCCAAACTTGAGTGAGATGTGTGGATATCTAGCACTAAAAGAATTGGATGATCTTCAGAAGCGATTACATGTTCCTGAAAATGTTTTAGCCAGTCACAGAAAAGTTGTTTCGTTATCCACCCTGATTTTGAACATCTGTATATTGTCCCAACAGGACCGTTTTTGTCCAAGCCTTCTTTCATCCGATTTCTTCTGAAAATAAACATAGGCGGAATATATTGACCTGAGGCACTAAAAGTGTAAACCAGTGTCGTTGTTTGCCCTTGTTTGTCGTGCGCCAACTTTTTTTTTGGTCTTTTGCAGCGATTCAAATTTGAAACGGTCGCAGAGGATTGCCAAGTTCTCGTAAATTATCTTTAGTTCCTCACGATTGAAACCTATAACTCTACTCAAACTTGTTGGCTCTGGTTTGCGCAAACTGACCTCGCATAAATGAGTAAAACCAGTCCTTTCCACACATTATGGTTTTCATTTTAAATGAATGTTGAATTTGGTTTTGCTCCACATATTCAAAAACCATTTGACGTATAGTATGGGACGAGGCGTAAGAACAGAAAACGCCTTCGACATTTCTAAAATTCTTGATGCAAATTCGGATTCTTGTTTCTTGCTAAAGACAGCTGTTCTTTTTAGTGTAATTTTTTGGCATCGAAACGACCATTTAATCTGTCTTGTAAAGTTCCGTAAGGGATGTTGTATAGCTTGGACGCTCCTCTTATCGAAAGTATTTTGTCGCCTATGTCGCTGAGGGCTCTTTTCATCGCCACATCGGTCCATAAAAAGCGTGTTGTTTTTCTCTTATATTACCGTGGCATCTGAAATAAATAAAAGCCAGTGTGGCTTATCATGTTGGAGTAATATCGATCACCTTAGGGCTAAATCGACCAACGGTCGATTTTATCCGAAAGTGTGCCCATTGTTGATACGAACTTTTTCAGAAATCCCATAACCTCAAATTATAGTATTTTATGATAAATATATTCTAGAAACATGCTTGCATGCATTGAAAACATTAAAATTCTGGCTTCGGCTAACGGAAGAGTCGCTTATCTTAAAATGCGATTGTAGAATCTTATAAAATACTTGCACAAAACACAGATTTGTACCACGTTTAATATTTATGAGGTATAAAATAAAGCACAACCTGTATGACCAATCTGGCACCTGTGGCCGTCCCGTCAAACATGTGCGCATGGGTTTTTTTCTACGACGTGAATTAGACGAAATTTGAATGTGATCGATATTCCCCCACCTTCCCCTAACTTATTTTAAGGTTTCGTTATTTAAATGAAACAATAATAAATCGAAAAACGTTTATTCATGAGCATATGAATAGATTTATTATTCATAATTATTTTAAAATTTGGCGCGCATTTAGGTCCAATACAATTTTTATGACTAGACATTGCAAGACACAAAACTCTAATTTTATCACAATTTGCCTTTGTTCAAATGATTACCAATACAATATAATTCGATAAAGTAATATTGCCTAAATTTATTATCACTTAAGAATAATATGTCAAAAAATTATATATAGTTAATTAACTGTTTAAGTTTAGCTATCAAATTATTTAAAAATTATAAAAAATTATATACATAATTTGTTTATATTTATATTTTCCTAATCACTTATTAATGCATAAGTACTACTATAAAAATTCTTGACTGATTTTATACTATATTTATAGACACTTAAAAATTGACTAGAGAAAAGTAATCAGTTAAATAATTAATTACAGTTCTGAAGTATTTATGTCAACATCTGTGCCAAATACTGTTCATTATTGAATGATGAAAGTTGTTGCAAAAATAGACAGCTGCCATGTTCAATTTTATATTAATACATTTTTAATTATTCTATTATGAATACGGGTAATGCATTTTGTTACTTAAGAAGGAATTTTATCTCATAGTTAATAGTTTTCACTCTCCTTAATATTCTTCTTATGAATACTTTTGCATAATAATTATTTTGACATTTTTATTATTGCTGTGTCTACCTAGATATTGGTGTCAGCATACGTTAATAATTATGAGTAGTACAATAATTTTGAGTCAATAGTACTTTCATTCAAATAAATGATATACATATTTGCATACATCTCACATGGGAAAAACAGACTTCATATCAAAAAATATTTGTTATTCTATAATCAATATGTTTATTTTTAACAGGTGTTAAATTTCAGGTGTTTTACATTACTTGTTATTCTGTAAATAAAAAAAAGGCCTGTCAATTGAATGTCATATTAGACTGGGCCAAAAAAAATAAAACAATTTTTCTTACAGGAACTATGAAAATATTGTTCATGACGACAAAAAAAAATTTTCCTGAAAGTTTGAGCCCTTAATAATAATATTAAGAGGTGCATCATTGCAGTTATTGATTTTTCAACAGTTGTCGCGTTATTGCATAAATTTCGGACTTGGTCAATTTTAAAAAAAATTTTCATCTCTTATCCTTGTAGGAAATTAAATTCCCCACAAAAAAGCTCTCCTAGTAAATTTTCGTAAGACGAGTCTATTCTATGTAATTTTAGTATTTAAGTTCATTTTGGAAATCCCAAATGCAAAGTGAAAAATTGAAAATATATACCAATGTTTAAGGCTCGATTACAAAGAATAGACTCGTCTTACGAAAATTTACTAAGAGAGCTTTTTTGTGGGGAATTTAATTTCCTACAAGGATAAGAGATGAAAAAATTGACCAAGTCCGAAATTTATGCAAAAACGAGACAACTGCTGAAAAGTCAATAACTGCAATGATGCACTTCTTAATATTATTATTAAGGGCTCAAACTTTCAGGAAAATTTTTTTTTGTCGTCATGAACAATATTTTCATAATTCCGCTAAGAAAAAAAAATTGTTTTATTTTTTTGGCCCAGTCTAATCTTTATATACAAAAATATTGAAAAATAAATGGCCAAATTTTAAAAAGACGCCCTTTTAAAATATGTGAAAGAGCATACATTTTTAGAAAAAACGAAAATGAACTCTAGTCACGGTTCGTAGACAACACGGTGGTCTCATCACGGTTGCTATGGACGCAGTGAGTTAACAGAAAATATTTTACTTGGAGTCATACATTAGTTTTTTAAAAATCTATAATTTTATTGTTATTTAGTGGTGTTTATATTTTTATTTTTGAACTTTGTTCTGGCGTTAGAGTTTTGATAATATCGGTAGTTCGACTTTTTAAAAGACAAGCTACCAAACAGTAAGGAAAAATCATGTAATGATTTCCATCAAATTTCAAATGAATTATTTTTTATTTGAATTATAAAGAGAACTATTATTGTGTGAATGGTTTATTTTAAACATTTTGGATTAGGGTACGGCCTCTGAGCTGAATTCGGATCACACTTTGTTTATATCCCGAAATATTTTGATATTTTAGCAAGCCTGTAGCTAGCCGTAGTGTAATACAGGGACTCAGCCTAAACTGAAATTAAAGGCTTATGGTAAGATTTTCGAGTATTATTCTGAAAATATCATTCACTATTATTAAATTAATTGCAACTTTGTCCAGCCTAAATTTAAAATTAAAACCCTAAATTAACATTCCATTCCATTAAATTTATAAAGACGGGCATGTCACATTCGTTAAAATTTCAGTTTCAACTTTAATATCTCGTAATTCAAATATCAGTAAAGATGTTCAATTGCTGTTTTCAAAAAAATATTTCTACATCTATCACAAATATTTATTTCTAATTCTACCTTTTTTTAGACTATTGGTTTTCATGTAATAAATTTATAGAGACGACCATGTTAAATTAGTTGAAATGAAAGTCTAAACTTCACTATTACATAATTCAAAAACAAGTAAAGATATTGAATTGCTGTCTTCAACAAAATATTTCTACAACTTTATCAAATAATATTTTCTAATTTTATCCTTTTCAGACTATTGGTTTTCATGTGGTAAATTTATAAAGATGGACATGTCACATTCGTTAAAATGTCAGGTTCAACTTTAATATCTCGTAATTCAAATATCAGTAAAGATGTTCAATTGCTGTTTCCAACAAAATATTTCTACATCTTTCACAAATATTTCTTTCTAATTTTACCTTTTTTTAGACTATTGGTTTTCATGTAATAAATTTATAGAGACCATGTTAAAATAGTTGAAATGCCAGTCTAAACTTCACTATTACATAATTCAAAAATAAGTAAAGATATTGAATTGCTGGTCCAACAGATTGTTTCTATAACTTTCACAAATATTATTTCTCAATTTTATCCTTTTTAGATTATTGGTTTTTATGTGGTAAATTTATAAAAACGGACATGTCACATTCGTTAAAATGTCAGTTTCAACTTTAATTTCTCGTAATTCAAATATCAGTAAAGATATTCAATTGCTGTCTTCAATAAAATATTTCTACATCTTTCACAAATATTTCTTTCCAATTTAACCTTTTTTTAGACTATTGGTTTTCATGTAATAAATTTATAGAGACGACTATGTTAAATTAGTTGAAATGCCAGTCTAAACTTCACTATTACATAATTCAAAAACAAGTAAAAATATTGAAATGCTGGGCTCCAACAAAATGTTTCTATAACGTTCACAAATATAGTTTCCCAATTTTATCCTAAATATCATTTTTCAATTTTATTCTTTTTAGACTATTGGTTTTTATGTGGTAAACTTATAAAGATGGACATGTCACATTCGTTAAAATGTCAGTTTCAACTTTAATATCTCGTAATTCAAATATCAGTAAAGATATTCAATTGCTGTCTTCAACAAAATATTTCTACATCTTTCACAAATATTTCTTTCCAATTCTACCTTTTTTTAGACTATTGGTTTTCATGTAATAAATTTATAGAGACGACCATGTTAAATTAGTTGAAATGCCAGTCTAAACTTCACTATTACATAATTCAAAAACAAGTAAAGATATTGAATTGCTGGTTCCAACAGAATGTTTCTATAACTTTCACAAATATTATTTTCCAATTTTATCCTTTTTAGACTATTGGTTTTTATGTGGTAAATTTTTAAAGACGGACATGTCACATTCGTTAAAATGTCAGTTTCAACTTTAATTTCTCGTAATTCAAATATCAGTAAAGATATTCAATTGCTGTCTTCAACAAAATATTTCTTTCCAATTTTACCTTTTTTAGACTATTGGTTTTCATGTAATAAATTTATAACCATGTTAAATTAGTTAAATTGCCAGTCTCAATTTCTTTAGTAAGCACTACTTTAAGGTTAACAATATTTTCCTCGTTAACGCTAATTTTCGTTACGTTAGGCTGGTAAGCGTGGCAAGAAACTTGCACCTCGTAATTCCCAGGCGGCAAGATCACTTTGAACACCGCGCTCTTTTTGGACACCTCGTACGTTTGGCCGACGCCCCATATTTGTATCGACGCGTTTAACATTTAATATCTTTATTCTCGTAGTGGTCATCTGTCAATTGTCTGTCGTTACCAGCTACCAAAGTAACACTAAACATAAAACAGAAGAAACACTAAATTTTATAGCTATATAGCGATTACACGTTTCTTTTTTTTGTTCATAAATGAGGTATAAGAAGAAGCATCACAATCACATGATTGATCTTCTGATTGACCATAAGAGTTAAAATCTGTTAAAAAATCTTGTAAATGACCAGGCAGCTTTCGTTGTCTTTAAGTACTGATAATTAGGGATGAATCAGGTTCATTTGGTGCTTCCGATACATAAGTAGGTTCTGTATCACTATTGCTAGAAGTTACATAACTATTATTGTCTATTGAATTAACATCTGCAGTGTTCTCAGTGATATTAATTGTCATTCAAATTAGCAATAGGTAGATTGTTGTTAGTATTAGATGACTGTCCAAATATATTTAAATTAACATCATATAATAAAGAATTATTAATATATGGGAGTCCTTAACTATATAAGAACGGTCATTCACATCTTTCACCTTTCATCTTTCCCAGATTTTATCTTTTTGTTTTAGGACATTTTCTCCAGTCTGTAATTTTGAAATATCCTTGGCATTTTTATCACAAAAATGTTTTTGGCTTTTTTGTTTAGATTCTATTTTATTTTGAATTATTCTAGGATCTATAATAACAGATAGTAATTTTAGTTTTGAGAACCCTATGCAATAAAAATTGAGAGGAAGAGAAATTCATGTTAGGCAATGGTGTATTCCATTAGGAATAAAGGTGATCAGATTTATTTTTAGCCTTTTTTTAACATTTGTTTGACAATCTCTACGTAGCGTTCAGCTAAACCATTAGACTGATGATGGTGTGGACTGGTGAATGCTATTTCAAAGTTCCAGTCTTTCGCAAATGCCATAAAAGCCTTAGAATTGTAAGGAATATTATCTGAAAATAGTTTATCTGGCACACCAAATTGCGAAAAATGTTTCTTTGCAAAACTTAATTACATCATGTGCAGTTTTTGTTTTAGTTTCACTGACCTCCACCCAATTTGAATAAGAATCCACTAAGACTAGATAGTAGAGTCATACTCAAAACAGTCAGAAAATAGATATTGCTAAGGCCTATCAGGTATAGGATGAGTGATTAGAGTTTCTTTTTGGTTGGACCTTCGATGAATGTATTAAATTAAATGTTCCACTGTTGGTTTTAATATCTTTATTCTCGTAGTGGTCATCTGTTGTTACCAGCAACCAAAGTGACACTAAACATAAAACAGAAGAAACACTAAACTTTATAGCTATACAGCCATTACATTTTATTCTTTAAAATGATTTGTAACTATGTACTTTTTTACTAAAAACTTCCTTTTTTCAAAAATGTATGTTCTTTTAGTAAAGCCCTTTGACTTTTTTGCTCTCAGTTGTTTTGGTTTGTAAGAAACCAATTCATCTGCTTTAAAATGTAGGGTGGACAAAGCTGCAATTAAATTAAAAATAGCGACTGATGTTTTCAGAATAATTACTCTAAAATCTTATCATTAGTATTTAATTTCAGTTTAGGCTCCCCGGTCCCTTTATTTATTCTAACGATTATTGCGTGTAAACCGTAAAAATTGTTTGCCAACAGCAAAACTACGGCTCACTCCAGGCTTGCCAATATTTTGAAATATTTCGAGATATAAACAGAGTGTGATCCGAATTTAGCATGGAGGTCGTACCCTAATCCAAAATGTTTAAAATGAACCATTCACACAATAATATTTCTCTTTATAATTCAAATAAAAAGTAATTTATTTGAAATTTGATGGAAATCATTACATGATTTTTCCATGCCGATTTGTAGCTTGTCTTTCAAAAAATCAAATTACCGATTTTATAAAAACTGCAACACAGGTGTATAGTCCAAAAATAAAAATACAAACACCAGTAAATATTAATAAAATATTAGATTTTCTAAAAAACTAATGTAAGAACCGCAGCAGAATATTTTCTGTCAACTCGATTTTTAATTCCGTGACGTAACAACTTTCCTTAGCAACGGATGAAGAGGCCACCGTGTTGTCTACGAACCGTGAACCTTTGGTATCATTACAGAATCAAAATTCATTTCCTACGACAACCTGATTGAACACCATTTGGTACAATTACAGAATATACGTTATTTTAAAAAGTCTGTTCTTCCTTCTATAAATATTGTGTATATATCGAATAAAAATAAGCGAGGCAATATAAACTTTAACACTGTCATCGCTTGCACTAACTGAGCTAAGGTTGTGGGCTAATGTGTGTTGGTGTGTGTGTGTTTTGCAGGCTTACAATCAAGTAAGCATTTGTGCCACGTATGCAATAAGAACTTCTCGTCCAGTTCCGCCCTTCAGATCCACATGAGGACCCACACTGGGGATAAGCCCTTTAGATGTACCGTATGCCAGAAGGCCTTCACCACCAAGGGCAATCTAAAGGTAAGTTTTATTACTAGAAGGCTTTGGCTTTACTAATGCAGTGACTAACTATAGGTGCAGGGATTGATCTGCTACGCTTCAAGCAGAACGTAAAGGTTCACTATTACTGACATCACAGAAACTGAATTTATATATTCAAAATATCTATAGGATAAACTTTAAAATTAATTCATTATTTTTTATGAGATAATATAAATAGAACCCACTATATTGGTTATTTTTGAATAGGTAATTCTTTTTGTGGCGTCAAATCTTTTCCAATCTACTTTGTACATATATAGATATAGTGAACATTTTACCTATTGTATCATGTTCTACAGATTAAAACTTTTATTATTTATTCTTTATGTTCTAACGACTTTTTAAGCAATTTTTCTAGCAACCGTTGTAAAGTTATTTCTTAAATTGAGACACAACTAAAAGCAAATACACAAAATCAAAAAGATTAGATGTTAAAACCTGAAAAATGTTCTCTAGATCTAAAACTTAGTATACAATAAGCGTTAGATTTTGTTATTATTACCTAAGTAAAATGTTCTGACATAATATTTATTTGTACTCATTCATATTTCACTAAATTCATCGGACCTGTTACTTCTGCATTAGTAATTATGTTACTGAAACTTTCACAATTAAATTTAATATTTATTTTCCTTGTTATTTATCTACACTAAATGATAAATGAGGAGTAACCATAAAAATAACTAAAATTAATTTTTTTAGGAAAATATTTGGAACTTACACCTATTTCTCTTTTTTTGCAGGTTCACATGGGCACGCATATGTGGAGCAACGGGGCATCTCGAAGAGGTCGGCGCATGTCTCTCGATCTACCCCCCATACCCATGACCCCCAAGGATTCCGAATTTCTGCAGCGGAGGCCAGACCTCTTCTACCCGTACCTACCGGCTCCATTCCTTAACGGAATGCAACAAAAGGTAAATATAATAATAAATAAAATTATAATCTTTTATATCGCTACAAAATATGTATAGGATAATCGCTTAATATTGGATACTTTTTTTTTAACTGTTAAATTATATCAAAAAAACATCCCTACATTTGTGTTAGTTTAATGGAGTTATAGTATAACTGTATATTATCAGTTAAGAAGGTCGGCAAAAGAATAAAAAATTAATTCAGGAACTAATTAAATATTTTTGAAAAATTGTTTTTTTGTTAATTTAGAAAATAGTAGCCTAATATTGGATAGGGTATCCAATATTAGGACACCATTTTTTTATTTAAAAACTATTGATAATTTCAAAACTTTGAGGCAAATACAAAACAAATAAAAATTCCACTTTACAGTAGTGATGCCGCGAGACGAGAAATTTTCTCGAAATCAGATTCGAGACGAGAGAGTGTCATCTCTCGACGAGAATTTCTCGTTTCTCTCGAGCTCTCTCGGGCTCTCTCGATCAATTTTCTCTTTACTTGTTTGAAATATTCAATTGCTTATCGTAACTTAAAATTTTAACATATTAGTTAGTAGTTTAATATATTCGAGTTAGTCAAAAAGTTAACTATAACACACCTATTCTATATATATTAAATGATAACAAATGATACTTGTGTTATTAGGATTTTATAAATAGTGATTTATGAGAAAAAATATTTCTCATTTCATTTATTTAAAATTTATACAATAATTTCTTATATTTAATCCATTCTGTTTTTCTAAGGTTACTTTTGAAGATAAGTTGAACATTTTTAGCGTTTTTTTTTAAAAACTGTCAAAGAAAATAATGTTTTACATACAGTGAGGACGAAAATAGTCCCCATAGCCACCCCTTGGAACCGACCCTGCCAGCTAGTAAAATCCTAAAAAGCACAATATTCTTGACTAATAGCGCCCTCTTTGTTTCAGCTAAACGAAATAACAATGGTCCAAAACAACCACAACGGACTATCAGGAGCCGGAAAGTACAGCGGCCTACTCGGTTTCGGTTACCCGCCACCCGAAGCTATACGATCTCAGGCGAGTTCACCCGAACGCACCGAGAGGCCGCCGAGCCACGAACCCGACACTAGAGGGCTCTGGGACCTCCACTTCGAACGGAAAAATGCCGTGGATGCGCCCAGAGAAGACCTTCTGCCGCCGACGACGGCCAACAGAGAGGGTCTGGCCGCCTGAAATCAGCGCCTACCGGGCGCTATTCCTACTTTGCTAGTCTAGAACGAGGTGTTTCAGAGTTAAATCAAAATGATGTCGAGATATGCGAAAATGAGGGTGAAAGATTGCGCACACTGATTTTGGTTACGACATTATAAATTCTAATATCTCACATTGTATATAATTCCAAGAGTTGTATTCATGAGATTATATCGCAGGTACATAAGAATATGTAAAACTTTTGACATTTATAAAATATCGAATTAAGTAGGTACTCTGCTTGTTTGAATTAGTCTGGACAAACTTTTTTCATTAATAGTCAAAGAATAAAGTCCTCAAGATAAAGCTTTCGGACTTTATTCAGATTATTAGTGTCAAAATTAGGTCTGGACAAATTGATAATAAAAAAAATTAAAATTTAGATCCAATAAAAATAGTAGACTATTTGTTAATGTCGCATATTACCTTTGAAAAATATATAATAATGAATAAATTTAAAATTTGTAGAAAAATATTAAATAATTATAAAAAAATGAGATGCTAAACTGAAAAATTAACGAAACCTAATTTTGTAAGATGTATCTATAAAAACCGTAATGTTAACATTTTTCAAAATTTTGTGAGATTTTCAAATCATACGAAAATATTGAGATGGCAAGTCAGAATACGGTCAATTTTAGAGAAATTATTTGTAAGATAAGAATTATTTATTTATTTATTTATTTATTATTTTCAGAAACAATCAGGCATTAGCCTAATTACGTGTTTCTTTAATATTATTAACAAAAAAAGAAATCAACAAAAATACACAATATATAATTAATACACTTGATTTTGTTTATATTAAAGAGAAAAAGAAAAATGCTAAAATAATTAGAGATGCTAAAATAACCAGACGCTAGCAAACCCCACACGATAGCCACGAATATCCTACAAAATCATGTTACTTTAATAATTTTTGTAAGTTCCCTTCTGTATGTGCTTATAGCTACATCAAAAATACCATGAATATTCGCACGAAACGTTAATTGAAGGGGGCCACTGGAACATTGATTTTTATTTGACTCAATAAATATTGACTATCTATAGGTATATCCATTTACCAATTTATGTAGAAATACGAGGTTAATGGACGATTTTAGTAAGTCGGATTTTTGGGATTTTTAATATACTGACACTTAATCTTAATCATATTGATTCAGTTATAAAACAAAACTCATCTCAAGTATACTTTCTTTTTTAATAAATACCTATATATTTTTTAAAAATACGTGACGTATTTACTGATCTGGGGATTTTGTTCGATGATTTAATTTATGTTGGTACAACTGGCTATCATTAGCTCTCTAAAAAAGAAATGTATACGAGACCAACCGTTTGTTTACACGTGCTTGTAGCCTGTTTGTAGCGTCGCTTGTGGTTTGGTCTATATTTTGTTGTGAATTTTAATTCTTTAAGTTTATTTTTGTGAAAAATGGAACAAGGTTTTGTGAAAGCTGATTCAAATAATCTTCCCCGAGTGGATTATTTTATCGATTATATAAGTGCCAAGTACCGAAATGTAAAAAGTCTGTCGTTAGTTATTTTGAAGAAACTACCAATTACAAGTATATATTTAAAATCATCAATACATTGTAGGGCTGCTAGATCTTGCTATGATGAGGAAGCTATTGACTATGTCCAGCTAAAGAGAGAAGATGATGTTGTTGTCGTCGTGAATGGACGTATTACTTCTGAACACAGAGTTAGGTTAAAACTGTATGAATTTTCTGTCAAAATAGTCACAAAAATCGAAAAAAATTTAATATCTATACGTGAGGACTGCACAGTTTCTCTTGGTATTTATCACAGTATTAGATTAGATTAGTATATCCGAATCTGTTGATTGAACACAGTTTTTGAGATTAATATTTCTGCATTTCTAATGTCCGGCTTTCAAGCAATTATTACATTTTTAATTAAAAACTTTAACAACTTTTATTTTAATGAATATCACAGTTAACTTAAATTGTAACTCAACAATTCGATTTTAAACGACACATCGGATGTTATCGATTAATTGCTACATACCATACCAAGGGACCGAGTAGACACTCCAAACTGATTATGCCTGTGGCCACATACTTTGATTTTCTTTTACTATACGGAGAATGGTCGCACTGCGCAGCTTTCTGAGTGCCTTTTAAAAGAAGATAGAAAACTCCGCTATTTTGATCCCTTATTACGTGTTGCCTACATTTGGCGCAATATTTTTAATAGGTGCGTTTTAATCATCCGCTGCTGCTTCGGAATTGTCGGTTTTCTTGTTGTTGACAGGTTAAAACGAATAAACCGACAATTCCGGAAGCAGAAGCGGATGATTAAAACGCACCTGATATTTTGCTTGCTGCTGTCAGTCACAGTTTATTGCTAAAGAATCAGTTAGCTCACTCGGACCAGTTGAAAGTTCCAAAATAACATCCACTCCAGGGATACAAATTCAGGATGCGCAGAAGACTGCTGTTTTATTATAGGCGGTTATCATATATCGTATTATCCGAGTTGCGCAGTGTATAAACTGGAATATTGAGATCAAAAGTGCCGACGCAGAGTGAGCGAACTGATTCTTTAGCTATAAACTGTGGTAAAGGCATCAAAATGGCCGCGCCCTATCTTGGGCGTGTCGGACATCTCTTGCACCGTATAATAATCAAAGTATGTGGCCTGTGGCGTCAAGATCACGTGGGCCAGCTTCTGGTATGTCGACATCAAGCCCGCGAAATTTAAATAAGAGGGTGGTTTTACAGTTAAGGGTTGATGTTAAAAAATAAGATAGTATAAGCGGTAAATTAAGACCTCACTCAAATATCAATTTAAAAAAAGAGAACCCCTATATTCCAATTTTTGAATTTTAAACTCGTTTCTAATAGGTTCAAATGAGACAAATCCTGGGTTCTAATTCCTCCTCTATATTCAAATTTATATTTCCAAGCACCAAATCAAGAGTTTTCTGATCCTCGTTAAGATAAATTGTTGTAAGACTGTAGATTGTAAGTAGCCATTAACAAAGACATTGTTTGTATTATATCATTTTTATTAGATAATTGAAAAGATGAGCCATTTATATAGGGTATATTGTAATCACCAATGAGTACCAAGAGAATTATATTACAAACAACTTTTATAAAAATTCGATTTTTTACATTCTGTCATATTTCTCGAATACCATTTAATCAGATAGGAAAATAAAAATTAGAGGAGTTATTTCAGTTAATGGATGTATTTTAATGCTATTGTTTCACTAATCTATTTGTGTTCACTTGTGCAGTGTTGCCAAATGTATCTATCTTAAATTTTTGCCAGTGCGCATCTCATTTTCACATGCCAAATATGAATTCATTTTACCCCATTATAAAATTCAAAAGATTTTATTAATGCGAACTAAATCATTACCTACTACTAATAATAACAGTTATTTATGTAGGTATCTACTTACCTACTTAAAAAACTTCAATCTTAATATAAAAACATTATAAAATACGTGTTTAAAAAAAATATATAATAGATTATTGTGTAAATTCAACATCAAAGTCATCAATAAAATAAATAATTTTCAACGAAACAAAATCGTTTTCATGTTTTATTTTATCAGTGACAATAACAAGGTTGTTTTATAATGTTCCTACCTACAATGTATTCTCATATCTACGTAATAGACCAGGGTCGATAATTTTGAAAATGGTAAAAAGTGAAAAAAAATTATAGTAGGATAAAACCCGTTAAAAAAGGACGAGAATATAACAAAAATGAAAGGAAAAATAATTTACGGGCGATCTGAGGTCGGGAAGTGGAAGGGGGTGAATTTTTAAGGGTAAAAAACGGTGTATCTCAATGTCCGGCAAAACTACAAGTCCTAGGTAATAAAGAGACCTACAACTTTTGTGATTACACTTTTTTCACATAACCTCAAAATTTATGTAAAAAATTCAAATAATCAAGTTTTTGGTTTTCTATTTTTATCTTATGCAAAAAAAATCTTTTTTCACGAAATTTGGTGAAAACTTACCTTTTTATGTTATAAGACACTGTAATTTTTTTGATTTGAAATATTTATTTTTTCACCTTGTTTTGACTTAATATCAAAAAAACACCCTAATTTTCAATCGAAAATTCTCGCGTCAAAATATCAGCTTTTTAAAAAAAGTCGGGGAGTTTTTGTTCGTTGAAATCTCTACTTTCTGATAATTTAAAAAAATTTATACATTACTATGGTAAATGTTCTCAGAAAATGCAAAGAAAAGAAAAATACTCGAATCCAAAATGTTTTTTAATGACTATGTACAATTTTGAGCTATTTAGTAAAATTTACACTTTAATTACTTGAAAAACGTAAGATTCTATGTTACGTTGATAAACAAAAAAATACAAATCGAAATATACTACTATAATTAACAACCAAATAAGTTAATATTTAATAAGACATCTACAATATTTTGAGAAAGTTGTAGAATATTCTTTAAATTATGTGCATAGATGCCTATTTATTGCTATTTTAAGATAACTTATATACCGGAGTTGCCGTAAAAGGAAAGAAGAGTGTTGTAAATTCATTATTAGACGATAAAAATGTGTCAAATTTGGCCAATATTTTTTATAAAAAAGATGCAAACAAAAAAGATATCGAAAAAAATGGATTACAATTAATCAAATCTATTTATAAATGTAAAAATGATAATATAACACTGAATCAATTAAGATTTTAAACATATCAATTGGCAAAAATTAAATCATCTTTCATATTGGCAAATCTCCCACCCACAGAAGGTGCAGCAGAACAACATTGTTACAGGGCAAATTATCAACTTCAAACTTGGCTAGGTAACGAACTGAACAGCAACAGATTGGGGCTGGAAGCAACATCAACGTGGGATTATGCCCAAATTTACAGAGAAGGAGTTAATTCCGGAAATAATGCTCAAAACTATTTGCTGTAGCTGTGAAACTGGATGTAACAGTTTAAAATGTGGCTGCCGAAAACATGGCTTAAAATGTACAAATTTATGCTCAAATTGTAATGGTTCTGAAAAGTGCACCAATGTGGAAGAAAAAACCTACGAGGAAGTTAGTGATTCAGATGAAATTGTGGATGAAGGACCAATTCAGACTAAAAATAATATTGGATACGAAGACGGTGATGGTCTTGAAGATTTCGAAGATCTACTAGAATCGGGAAGGTTTGTCGAATCTAACGATGAAGAAATGCCACCGAAGAGACAAAAAGTAATGGATAAGTGATTGGGGTGCAAGATAAGATTTATAAATAAGATTAATACATTTTAAAATATTATGAATAATAATAATCAGTACGAAGTATCTAAATTCAATAGTACGATTTACATTTCTATTCATATATTATGAGATTTTCTATGACACAAATGTAATTAGAATTTAATAAATCAACTTTTTGACTAAAAAAAATTGCAGCAATCACATTTTTTAATTGAAATCCCCCCTTTAATATTTAGAACAACTATTTTCGCATGTTTCTTGCAATTTTTATGATTTATGGATTTGTAATTTTTTTGTTTATCAATGTAACATACAATCTGACGTTTATCAAGTAATTAAAGTGTCAATTTTACTAAATAGCTCAAAATTGTACATAGTGATTAAAAAAAAAAAAATCGGTTTCGAGTTTTTTTCTTTTCTTTGTATTTTCTGAGAACATTTACCATAGTTATGTATATATTTTTTTACATTATCAGAAAGAAGAGATTTCAAAGAACAAAAAACTCCCCGACTTTTTTTAGAAAGCTGATATTTTGACGTGAGAATTTTCGATTGAAAATTAGGGTGTTTTTCGATATTAAGTCAAAATAAGGTGAAAAAATAAATATTTTAAATCAAAAAAATTACAGTGTCTTTAGGACATAAAAAGGTAAGTTTTCACCAAATTTCAAAAAAAAAATTTGCATAAGATAAAAATAAAAAACCAAAAACTTGATTATTTGAATTTTTCACATAAATTTTGAGGTTACGTGAAAAAAGTGTAATTACAAAAGTTGTAGGTCTCTTTATTACCTATAACTTTGTTATTTAATTTTTTTCCATAGGACTTGTAGTTTTGCCGAAAATCGAGATACACCGTTTTTTACCTTTAAAAACTCACCCCCTTCCACTTCCCGACCTCAGATCGCCCGTAAATTATTTTTCCTTTCATTTTTGTTATATTCTCGTCCTTTTTTAACGGATTTCATCCTACTATTATTTTTTGTTTTTGTTTCAAAAATTATCGACCCTGGTCTATAATACTTACAAGTTTATAAAATATTTTACAACCAAGGTATAGTTTTATATTAAGTTACTAGAATCAGTGTGAGCAGTATTTAATAAAAACCTTCAAGTGATAAAAATAAAATGTTCTATCACTGCCCTGTTACAAACAGGTACACATTTTCAAAGCAAGTCTCGACTAATAGTTTGAAATGTATATTGTTGAAACACCTTTAAAATACGGATCGGGGCAATGATGCATACTGTGATACAACAGCTGTAAAAAGCTGCGACGTAGCTGCAAAGCTGCTGTGTAATTAGAAATATTTAATTAAAAAAAAAATAGGTTTTAGCGTCTTGTACTATAAATAGCTGAGTGTATGATATCGGGGATTTAAAATAGATGATTTATAATATTTTTATATTTATTTATTTATTGTATTTTCGTTTTATGCAGGTATTTATTTTCTTCAGACTCAAGTTACTTATAATTACTTAAATTTATAAAAAAATATCTGGAATAAAAATCATAATTTAATTTTATATCTAATCTACATTTTAATATCAATTTAAATGTGTTTGTTTACGTTTATTGTAAAAATTTTAATAGATTTT